TTCTTATCTAAGGGGAGCCTTTGAGGCTATAAATATTATACAATAATTCGTTTAAATGCTCATGATTCTAACGCAATACTAAAACTCTATTTTATTATTTTTAACTAATTTAAACTTTCATTATTATTTTCAGAACTTCAAAAAAAAATCCAATAAATGTTTAGGTCATCTATGCCTAAAGAGAGCCTTTAAGGTTGTGGATATCATTCAATGATCCTCCAGAACAAATAAAATTCTAGCAACCATTGTTGCAAGATTGAAACTTTATCTTTCTAATTATCAACTTATTTTTTTCTTTATTTAGTGATAATTTATGTGATTTTAAGTTTCGAAACTATTCTTCATTCAATTGTGATTCTTTTTTTACTTTTATAAATCTTAATTTGACCAATTAAATTATCTATAATCACTTACATAAAAATCATTAGACATAACTCTATTTTTGCTTAATTTACATTTATCATGACGCTGACATCATCTTAATGTCTACACCCTTATTTTCTTTTTGTGTCAATTTTAAATATATTTTATATTTATTATTTAGTCTAAGAATCATAAAAAATGTATTCTTTTAGAATTTTTTGAAAATATTACCCAATATTACCTTACATCTATGTGATCGACCTGAAAATTAATACTATTTTTAGAACCTTTTATCGAATTATAATTAGTTTATTTTGTATGAAACATTTCTAAAAATTAAAAAATTGATATTTTCTAATTTTATAAATTTTAAATTTACATAATTTATTATACAATGACTAAGTCACATCAACACACTTATTCTCTCTCCTCTTATTTTCTTTGTAAATATTTTTTTGTTTTAATTTGATTTATCTTTTTATGTACTTATTTGTTGACATGTACTTTATTCATATGATGTTTGTAAAATATATTTGTATAGTAATGATTTGTAGAAATATTTGATTAAATTAATACAATGATGATCTATGACCTTTAAAGCTCATAATACAAGCTATTTATACAACCCAAGGACTTTACAATTGAAATTGAAATTTCTAAGATGAGATTGCTCAAAGATATCCTAAATCTACCCTTATATTTGTCAATAGAGTAATCTAGAATTATTAGACTAGTTACTTGATTACTTTTGTCAAAATAGTTTTGTGTATTGTCCTTTAATGCCAACCATTTTTTTCTAATAAGTTTTTCTTTTTTTGTATCTAATTGTGATGATACCTTAGTCCTTGTCTTTTACTACATTTTTGTTAGGTTTTTATATGTAAGTTTAGTTTATGTTGACTACCTATAAACATTTGTAGATTGGTTTTAGTTATAATTTCTTGAGTTCTTGGGATTGATAATCTTTATAATTTTATAAATAAAATTAAGTAGGTCACATTCTTCTTGAAGTGGAACACTAAGAGGGGGGGATTAGTTTACTATGATTTATGTTCTATTCTTTATTCTATCTATGAGTGTATGAGTCAATATGGGTTCTCACCTGACGTGTCTATTATGAGTACGAGTTTACTCAAATCAATCTCTTTCTCCATGTGCGCTTACTCTAGTTTCTTTCTCTTGTCACCATCAATGACACAGTTTTTATATTGGTTCACCCTTCACTAGGCTACATCTAGTCTCAAAATATCCTTCTTATTAAAGTTCATTATTTTCTCTTAGAAATACAAGCTAATCTTACAAAATCAATGACCCAATCACTTTAGCGCAACACACTAGTTTTCTCATATACCACAACTTCTAAAAGTATTAACAGGCTTAACACCACATGTCTTAGCCTAAAACTCTCTCTACTTATCACCTAAGTATCTTAGGGCCCCAAAGATAGTCAATATTTGATGTAATAGTTTACTTCAATCACCATTGTAGAATGAGATATTTGATGTAACTTTTAATTCTTCTTTGAAGTGCACTGCAGCTTGACTTTTACAAATAGAATATGATGTTCCTTGAGTGTAAATGAATCTAGTAGAAATATTTTTATTTAGGATTGAATTATTCTTCTTTTAACCTCTTTCTTTTTATTCTCCAACATTTTCATGTCTCTTCATCACCTAAAAAGTAGTCACACAAATCAAATTTCTCCTCATTGCTTCATGGGTGTGCTAGTGATCTTTGTTCATTCTTTTCTTTGAAACTTGTTATTCTCATATACATTATATTGAGACTTTTTTTAAAGATTTGTAAGTTATCTTTTAGAGTCAAGCTCAAACTAGGTCATTAAGCTTGTTATTATCTCCATGTATTATGACGACATATTTCCACCTAAAGTGCATGCCAATGATCTTTGCTCGTTTCTTGCTTTGAGAGTTGTTATTTTCACATCAACTATATTTAAAACTTGGTTTAGAGATTTGTGAGTTATCAACAGTCATCTTTACTTTTGAGGTTGAGTTCAAATAAGTCAATTTGGTTTCTCATTTTCTCCATGTGTTCCACTGATGTGTTAGCATCAAGAATATGTGGCAAAGACTTCTCTTCATTTTTGACTTTTTGATGGGTTATTGTGGATGCTTCAGATTTGTTGTTGTATAGGTCTTAAGTTCAAATCTTGCTGAAGATATTGACCCTCTAATATTTTTTTATTTTTATTCGATCAACTTTCGAGTGTGTCACTTTCATGTCTTTTCATCTTTTTGTTGTCCTTCACGTTCTACGTTTGTTATTTATGTTGATAAGAGAATATTCTTTATAAATTCACTTTTCTTGATTTTCTGTGATTTTTCAATTGTCACTTAAATGCTCATATATTTTCATGGAAGTGCCACACCCCAACAATTATTTTGATTTTTGTCACTTCCTACCACGTCCAATAGTCATTTCCTTCATTATTAACATGTATTTATAGTTGAATTAGGACACAAAAATATGTAGATAAAATAATTTTAGAATATTCAATAAATAAAAATAACCATATGAAACTTATATAAGTATTTTAATTTAATTATTCATTATAGTATTCATTTTAATTTTTTATGTAAAATAATGATTTTACCATTAATTAACTTTTTCTCAATTTTAAGGTTTTCTGCACCTACAATCATCAAGATCATCATCTAAATAAATAATTCTATAATTACAACGTTCATCAAATAACTCTTTCATACATTTTAACAACATCAAAATAATATAACTCCAAAAACCAACATATGATATAGTGTAATAGTATTTGTTTTGGTAAGTGATAGCATGTAATGTATAATCTAAGCCAAAGATAGTGAGAGGTAATCTGAAATGTTAACCCCATGATCCACTCATCATTTTATTTATAGAGTCGAAAAAGAATATCAATACTTGCCACAAAAGTGCTAGTGCTTATGACTTTGATAATGCAATGATACTTATATTGATACACCTAAGTGCTTTGTGAGGGGTCTAACAAATGGGTATAGGCCAAATGTTGGAAAAGGTGTCAATATTTGACATAATAGTGTTGACCCTTTTCAACAAAATGAAATATTGAAAACACAAGGGTCAGCACCATAGTGATGGTAGATGAAATGTATCATGAAATCAATGAACAAAAACTTAAGGATCATTAATAGCCTTGATAAAATTATCAAAACATAGCATAAAAATAGTTGGATAAAAACACATGGATTCCACAAGTGTAGGTATAAATACCTATAATTTTGGAAATAGACATCTTATAAAATAAATTAAAATTAATTTCTAAAATTGTGAGTGAAATTTTTACAACGAACGCTTATGAATCATGGAAAAAAAATAGCAATTGAGTCATGGAAAAAAATGCATGATACCTTTCTATTTTTCTACTAGAAATGTAATACATAATATATGCTGGGTTTGAGGTTAAAAGCTTGGTGATACTTGTATCTAAGCATAGTGCTCTAGACTTATTTGGAGATTAGACCAAGAAATGACTTATCATTGTCATCTTCTGAAAACTTGGTAGTGTTGAAGTCCTGATTTGAAGGTAAATTGATGAGCTCCATTGTACATAATTTAATAGAGAAATTGCAATAGCTAATCAAGTGATTTTAAGGTACACGGTTCACTTGTGATCATTAGTGTTGGAATAACTCTTGATAAATTAAGCATAAGGGACTGTACCATCATAACCTTTGCCAACTTAAAAACTGTTATTAAATGTATAAATAGTGCAATGTCTTCATGAGGACTCAAATTTCATAATGTTTACAAAAAACATTCTGGTAGGCTATCGAGATCATAAGGGCAAAGAGTGATTCGGCTGGAGGTTGGGTTAGCTCAAATCTTCTTGCCTAATATTCATGTAAGTCGTGTTTCACGATCTGATCTTTGACAAAAAGTATGAGAGTACCACAATGGAGTCCCATGATTTTTGAATGCATGATGTTGACTCTTTGAGGTTCACTCAACAAAAGCCAATGAATTATTTAGCGATGCCTATGAAAAGAAAAATCTAAACGCCATCAAGGTGTTGAGAGGGACTGTTTTGAGACCACATTATTGATCCAAAGCCCAAAGCCCAAAGCCCAAAGCCCGAAGGGTTACTCAGGGCATTTTGGGGGCACATTTTAGGCGCCGCTACACAACCTTGGGTACCGCAAAAAGATTGGGATTCACGCACGTGCTCGTGTACTAGGAAACAAAGAGTTGGGGCTGTACTGTTATTTATTGATTCAGTTTACAGCGCTGCGTGCGATATTCCCCTAGTAGCCGACACTCGACTATGGCCCACACTCACGTGATATTATGATGGCGGGGGACTCAGCATTCGGGTCAACCGCGCTCGCTGAGGGAATTGAATTATCGTCAGCCACGACCATTAACTCTCCCCAATCATTAATTCGTGTGCTTGTGCCGTTGCCTACAGCTGTCCTCGCCGGCTTCTCGCCGGAGGCCGCACCGCCGCGGCGGAGAGACTACGGAGAGAGAGAGAGAGAGAGTAATGGCAAAAAAAGGGGACATATTTTCCTCATCGAGGAGCTGAATCGAGACCAAGAAGGCTTCTTCCATCTCTGGTTTGGCAAGGTGGTACTTACAGATGTGGGACGAAGTCCGTCGGAGTCCGTTCACCGAGGGGAGGCGACCGCCACGGGGGAGGTGGTTTTCGAGCTGAAGCCGGATCTCGGCGAGCTCCGGGGAGGGCAGATGATCTTCCGCCCCTCGCGTTCTCTCACGAGTTCTGCAGAGGCCCAGGCGAGGATCTCCGCGTTGGACTTGTCCGAGAGCCTCTTCCCTCGGAAGAGCACGGAGGCCACGTTCCTCTGCTCCAGCAGCTCCTCCGCTGCGGCCTGGAGCTTGCAGGGCTCCGAGGATTGGAACCCGCCGAGATCACCCACACGGGCCTGGAAGGATCAACACTCGTCATCGATCTTGCTTGCTCTCGACGATGGAGGAGGGAGGGGGGGAAGGATTCGCCGGGGGTTCATCTTTTATCTGCCCTACCTGAATGCGGACATAGTTGGCCGTGCGGTTGCGCTCCAAAGCCATGGCCACCGCCTGATCCACCTGCGCCCATTCAGCTAGCATTCAGTACGGAGGAGCACACAAAGGAAGGAAGGAAGAAAGGAAGAGGGGTGATGATGGAACAGTGCTGGCGGTGGGAACTCCTCACCGTGTCGGAGGTGGCCTCTACGGCGATCTTGACGATCTCCGACGACGACGTCGTGGACCTTCGCCGCAGTCGTCGACCGGCCGGCGGCGCAGCAGAGGATTCCCCGTTTCCGAGGGAGACCACCAGAAGGTCCTCCGCCCCGGCGACGGAGGGGAACTCCATCCGGTTGTTGAGGACGTGTGTGATGGCGGCGGCGGCGGGATTCGCGACGGCCACGCCGCCGTCCACGGCGGCGATCGCTGTTCTCCCGTCCACGGAGCGTATTTCAGCTGCCCCCAGCGTGGCGCCGCAGACCTCCCGCATGAGGAAGTTGTAGCCGTCCGTCTCGACGGCGCCGGCGCGGGAGAAGAGGAACGGCGCCCTCGTCTCCAGGTCGTAGCAGGGGATCAGCACCGGCTTCACCGTCTCCCGAAGAGTCGCCTCCCCGAATATTCTCTCCAGTTTTTCTCCGGACGCCCTCTTTCTCCGGAATATTCCGGCGAATCCCCTCCCCTTCTTCTTCCCCTTCGCCTGGAAGACCTGGCGGTTGCGGGAGAGGAAATCGAGGGCCTCCGCAGCGGTGTAGAGGGGGCGACCGTCGGCGGCGCAGGTGAAGAGGAGCGCCACCAGGATGCCGCCGGCACCGGAGCCGGCGGCGATGTCGAAGAAGTCGGCGATCCGGGAGGACGACTCGCCGGATAGCTTCTGAAGAGAGGCCTCCAGGAGAGCCAGCGAGGCGGCCGCGAGGAGGCCGTCGGTGGCGCCGCCAGCGTCGACGGAGAGGATCCGGACTCTCCCCGAGTAGAAGGGCGGCGGCGCCGACGGTGGCGCCTCGTAGCCGAAGAGGAATTTGGACTCCAGGATGGAGAATATCTCGTAGCTCACCTTGTCCATGTCGAAGCTCCCCTCCGTCGAGGCAACAGCACCCGCCATTGCTCTCCTCTCCTCCAATACAGAACGAACCCCACAGAGCGAGCGAGAGAGAGAGAGAGAGATAAGTAGCAGCAGCAGCAACAGCAGCACTGGGGGGGGAGGACCAGCGTAGTCCCTATATGAACTAATTGGGAGTGGGGAGAGAGAGAGGGAGCGCACGTTAGTGTAGAGGTGCAAATCAGCCCGCACGTGCGGAAGGGTCGACGGTAGCGAAACGGACGTCCAGGATCGGATCCAGAGTGGTCGCCGGCCGGCGCCTAGGTGGTCCTGCTACCGTACACCGGGTCGTGCGTGCGGGGATGAATCTCGGGTCAACGCTCAACTGGCAAGGGACCACATCCGTCCGGTAATCGAACACAAAACAACTCGACCATCACCGTCCATCTGCTGGCTTCTGTGGGGTCCACCTCATCTTTAAAATCCCCTGGTCGGATCTTCCCATCGCACGGCTAATTGTACGCCGTCACCTACTCAGACAACCTCTCTCTCTCTCTCTCTCTCTCTCTCTCTCTCTCTCTCTCTCTCTTCCCGTTGCAAATCAAGGAAGGAAAACTAAGGAAATTAGCTGTTCAGAATCTTATGACCGTGGATATCGTGTCAGATGGGAGACTTCTGTCTGCGGGTGAGGGAGAGAGGGAGTGAGGAGTCAGCCCGGGGAATGTGGGTAAATGTTCTCCAGACTCAGCCGTTGAAACCAACCCTACGAAGAAAACACCCCCGAGCCCCGTCCCCCAAAGGTCTTCGGATCCTGTCTCGGGTGAGGATCCGCACCACTAGTAGGAGGTTGAGTCGGAATCCGTAAGGACCTGTAGCGTGGTACGAAGCGTCACGCACTGGGAGTGTCACTGGCACAAAGTAGTGCTCGACGACGTGGCACGAGGGGTACGCGGTAGCATTGGGGGGTGGGGGGTGGGTTGAGGATGGCCGGAAAACGTGGCACGCACGCGCAGAGGATCGGTCGACAAGGAGGAGCAAATCGATCGACTGCTACGTACCTTGGAGGCCATGAAAGCCAGCTTCAAAGCCATGAAGGAGAAGCTCCCAGCCGTAGAGGAGCTGGTGGGAGATTTGCAGGCGGCGGCGGATCGTTGTACAAGACGCTGGAGGCTCTCGCTATGGATGTCGCGCTCTAGAAGCGCTCATTATATCCTAATAGTAAAGGATATAAAGGTGATCAGTGTAATTATTATATCCTTTCAGTCAAAGGAATTTCCTTCTTTGATCTTCCGTGAGGGATGCCTTGGAAGTGAGTTAAAGAGACTCGTGGACGGTAATATTGAATGGGGCAAAACACTGTCATATGGACTCTAAAACGATGCCATAGAGTCACCAATCCATCATCTTGTTTGAGTACAATTCTCCTATTGATCGTGTCAAATCTAACATTCACTTACTAACTGTGAAATGAAATTTACATATTTCTCTACTTTCGATAGAATATTCGATATATCTCCCATATATTTCTGCGAATGATTTTAACATTCGCATCTCTGTACTCAATGGTGCTCGGTAACATTTGAAAACATCCCAACCCATGAAATTGTGGATGTGTTTAAACGTCTAAAACTGATTGCAGAAATACTCAAAAAATGGTAAGTTTAGAAAATAGCTCAGAAATATGAAATTATCTACGGTTCATAAAGATGTGCATACACGCTATTAAGGCGTCCAAAAATGTCTTGCCATGCACTTTGTAGAATATTCGAAGTCAGAAAGAGGCCTAAAATCCTAGACAGTGACAAACCTGAAACGTAATAACGATGAGAAAACCATGGTTAAGGCGTCATTCGAAGTACCATTCTAGGAACTATTCATCTTTGGAAGACGCCAAACAAACAATTTTTATAAGGTATCTCTGGAATATCGCTAACCAGTATCACTCCTTCATTAGAAAGAAATAATGAATAATGACTGGGCTCAGTAGGAAAGATAAAAAATATGAATGATCCCAGAATCCCTTTCAATGTGCTTTAATCAATGAGCCACCCTCAATCTACCTAACGAAAAGTGAAAAAAAAAAGAAAAAAAAAGAAAAAAAGAAAAGAAAAAAGGGTGCCGAATTCGCAGCGCGTTAATGATGTGTGCAAAGGTTACCAATTCTTGTTTCCTCATTAAGCTAAATGAGTTTTTATGTAAAAGAAAGTTCCATTTTTTCCATCCCGGCTGAGACTCCTGGCCTTGTGTTTTTAGATAGCTCTGCAAAAGGGTACATGAACTTTGTAGATATCTTTTTCCGTGAGAGGATGCTGGTGTTTGAATATGAACGAAATTTACGGTATTATGTCTGTCACTGCTCCAGTTAAGAATTGAAAGAAGATTAGCGCTTTTTTGCATAGATTCATGATAATGTGCTGTTTAGTGACGAGCGTCTCATTCTGAACCGATTTCAGTTGAGCGAGGGTGTCTGGGAAATGGGATTATCCATCTTTTATTCTTACTATTTGACAGAAATGCTAAATATGACAGAGGTATTTTCGTAGACTTTTAGGGTAGAAGCTGTGTTCTGCGCCTAACGTGTCTCTATTACATGCTGAACGTTGCACCTGTATATTAACGTGTTTTGAGAGACACTACCACTATATTAATATGTTTTCCCCGAGTATGCATGCCCATGCCGTGGCGTAAGCGAGTATCATTATCGATGAACTGTCGTGTTGTTTGACAACCATCTTTGGATTTACAAGTCCTCTTCTAGGGAAAAGACTCCGTGAATAAAGTATTCCTGCACCTGTGCACGTGGAATGCTCAGTTCTTCCAACCTCTCGACCAGTTTTTCTCCTGTCAGAACCGCCAAACTCTCCTCAGTGCTTGGCTATTTTTGGCTTCCCAGTGGATCTTGCTTTGATCCTGATCGTGTGCTGGATTCCCATTCCAGCATTGTGGCGTGGTCATATTGAGTAAGTTGTATGGTGTATTTTCACATCCTCTGGAGCGGGATTCTCTCTTTCGCGTCGGGGGGGGGTAGGAGTTGAGCTGCGGAATGGCCCGAATGGCGGCGAGGGGAGCGGGGAAGTCCTTGACCATGGCGCCATCTTTGGGCGGCCCCCATTGCATGTACTCTATATTCTTCGGGCTTGGATCTGAAGCCCGTCCCCGACCTGCCTCCCAAAGCTGAGCCCTCGACCGAGCTTTTCGTTGCCGGTGAGGAAATTTTAATGGAGGGCTGTTCCCACTTTTTTCTCTACATTCTTTTATGTTTCTGCGTCTCGTACGATCCGACCAAGCACTTCTGGCACCTAGTTGTTTAGAATGCCTTGCTGTTTTCTGCCGCGTTTGTGCCTACCACTTTCCCCTTCTATATTGCCTCTTGGTTGTTGCCGCTGCTTGGCGACATTGTTTCTTGTATCGAATAAAAATGGTAGGAGAACAGTTTGAAAGAAAGAGATGCTGTGCCGTCGTACGGAGAATAGACCAACTAGGGAAAAACACTATTTGACGACTAAGGTTTTATCTGTTTTTTGCCTTTTCTGGTCATCTCCTTGTTCAATGCATAAATTGAGAAGAATTGGTGGGTATTAAATTATCATGGATAGATTTGAAATATGATTAGGTTCTGGGAAAATAAAGGTTGCACCATTAGTTAACTCCTCAATGTTTCAAAAGTCTTCCATTTTCCTTTTGAGTTATTAGGAAATCCTCTGAATCCAATATTACGTGTTGCTAAGATGCATAATCTCAAAATTCTTGATTTTGTTCCGGTTTCAATTCTTCTTTACGATCAGATGAGTCCATATCCTATCCCTTCCGTTATGTGCAGATGAGTTCAGAGAGGCGTGTCGGGCCTGAAAATATTCATGTTATCCTTGACCGGACTTTATCAGGTCTAAAATTGATCGAAGTACATGTGGATTGCTGCAATATTTCTCGTTTCTTTAGAATTTACTCCTCTCGTTGTGAAAGGTGCACACGGGCCAGGTTTTTAATGGCTGTTTAGTGCCTAAAGAACTGGATTTCTTGGTGATTTTTCTTTCACTGTTCTTGTATATATTTTCCTTTGGCAAACTGGGGATGTGACAGCAATGCCAAATTCTCATGCACTTTAAGAAGTTGATTCTGTTGTTCGGAGCAGCTCACAGGTATGTTGAGATTATGGTCTCTGGACGAATTAGACGCCGTAGATGGTTCACAAATTTTAGCTTCCCAGCATTTCTATGCTTTCATTTCATGGATTGGGGTCAATATGTTGGAACTTATTGAAATAAAATGAAAAACGCTTGATTCATGAGACAATAATTTGTCTTCACGAAATTGTAGCATCCGGAACTCAGAAAAATAACATATAAACCTTTTGGCTTAGGTTTGAGATGGTTTATTTTCTCTGTTACTCTCTGGCTTTTTTACTTTTTATCAGCTGGGGCTTGCATTTTTGTCTGTCTGCAAAGTTTCACGTTAAATTTGTTGTTCTGAGACCATTTTGCCCTCATGTATCCAAAGGATACCGTATGTAGTTGAGATGTGGATCCTGTCTTGTTGGGTAAGTTGAGACTGAACCATAAAAAAAATATTTTTATTGAATACATGTAGGCCATTACACAAGCCCCGGATATCTCACCAAGTGATATATATGCAGTAAAATTTCGTTTAATGTTTTCATTTGTAGTTTGACGGGACCCATTGACATGTATTCCACCTAATAATTTTCATTATAATTACATTCTTTCAGTATAGGAATGCCCTTGATTGGTCTTTAAGATGCATAATCTCAAAATTCTTGATTTTGAAATGACTGAAAGAGACTAGTGGACCAGGACATCAAATGGGACAAAGCACAATGTCACATGGGCTCTGAAACGATGCCATACAATTACCAATACAGTGGGCTTGACAACTTGCTGAGTACGATTCTGTTATGATTGGGCTCAATCCAACATTTACTTATTTAAAATGAAATGAAATTTACGTATTTCATTTTTTATAGAATATTTGGGATATCTTTCACACGTAGTCTCATTCCAGTAATTGGAGTGATCGTCAACAATAATACGAGGGAAATGCGAAGGTAACCGGTAGAATTGGGCCAATAAAGCTACAGAATGACGTCTACTGTGTTCTGAACAATTTAGACGTGAAGATTAGCGACTAATTTGGTAACCCTCATCGGTTGTTGGCTAAATCAAAAGAATATGTCGGGGTTTCATTTATACAGCTATATATATATATATATATATAGATAGATATAGAAGCATTGTTTGAGAAGCATCTTTGGAATTAGAAGTCCTTCACCTGTGGATTTGGAGTGCTTGGTTCTTCCAACCTGTCGACCATTTTCTTTCTCCTGCCAGAACTGCCAAACTCTCCTCAGCGCTTGACTGTCTGTGGCTCACCAGTGGATCTAGTTTTGATCCTGATCATGAGTTTGATTCCCATTCCATCATTGTTGCGTAACCATATTAAGGCACGAAGGAGAATTCTGCCCATGTTATGAGCAAGTGTATGATGCCCCCATCTAAAAGGCCATTTTTTTCCCTGACAAGGTCACAAGTCATATTCCTTGTCAATGTTTTCGAAAAAATGTTTTAAAAAGGCTTTTGGATAAGTGATATTATCTATCATTATGGATTTTATTCTGCAATCGTCTTCAACTAGATTCACAACTAACTGCAGAACTATCGTGCAATGATTGAAGAATGCACAACTAACTGCAGAACTATCGTGCAATCTTCCTTATTTTGGCGTGGAGACTTTTTTTCCGCAGGACTCAACAGAGAAACTACCTCAGACAAACTCCAAGAAGCCTTCTCAAGATTTGGTCAAGTTGTTGACGGTTTGTGAGATCACCGTGGGTTTTGATTTTTCAGGCAGTTGTAACAGGGAGGGTGCTGATCTACAGCTTTTTGATTTGTAGCTCATGTTGTCTCTGATCGAGTTTAAGGATTCTCTCGGGGATTTGGTTTTGTCCAGTATGCTACTTTAGAAGATGCGGCTGCGGGTAAAAAGGGCATGGATGGCAAGGTGAACTGATGATCTTGCACAGCAAGCCATGCTTTGCTACGATGTCCAACTTTAGATCATATACATTTATATTAATTATAAGATTAAGTGCCTAGGGGCCATCATATTTTTCTCTATTCGATTGTGAGAATTGATGTTGAAAGACAGATGAATACTGAATCTTGTGTTGTGGCTTGCTGTTGAAAAAGTGAAAAAAAGCCAGTTAAGTCACTCATTGTTGTCTTTATTCTAATATTGTGAATTTTCTGCCTTTAGAACATTGAATATAAGCTTGGATCACACAGCAGGTGTCTCTGACTCTATGGCACCATTTCTTTTTTTTGGAGTTTCTAGATGGATGGGTCATCCTGGGGGATTACTCAAGACCCCGACCTCCTCCATTTGGAGTCATCAGCCACCCCAAGAGCACCTTGGATCAGCCTCCATTATCTTCCCAATCTCAGCCTTGCTACCGGTTTAAAGATTCCAACAACCGCGCCAGCAGCGGTAACAATCAATTTTCCGTGGGAAGCCTCCTCAATCTCCGGTTTCGCATCAAGGTATCTATCAATCATAATCCCCAGTCTTGGGCTTCATCCCATCCCATCCCATCCCCCAGCCTCTTGCCTGTCGGGTTTACCTGGCTACTATGATGGGCACAGCGCCTCTCCTGTGAACCCACCTCCTCTTCTTTGTCCGTCCACCTATCGATCAATATAACTATCACAACCACGCCCCTACACCAATTGCAGGGTGATATTAGGGCTCTGCGAACCCACCCTCCTCTTCAGTGTCTCCACAGTTGCATCCATCATCAAATGGTACCAGTAGTCACCGTCAATCTCCACCATCCAATCAGCATGACAGCTGCAATAATCTCACCGGCCATCGACCTTCACCTTGCTACTGACATCAGGTGTCCCACAACTCTGAGGCTGTGCACCAATCTGGTCGGGAATCCCACTGTGTTGACAGTTGACAGGAGGGATCATCAATCTGTACTCCGCTCCACGCTCCATACTCCATGTTCCATGCTCCATTCTTCATGCCCCATGCTCCATGCCCCATGCCCCATGCTCCATGCTCCATGCTCCATGCTCCATGCTCCATGCTCCATGCTCCATGCTGTGTGGGGGATACTTGATATTCTACTACTGTTGGTGAAATCTGCTGGTTTTTCAGTGACTTGATGATTCTTGCAAGCTCTTTAATGCATTACCATGAACCCCGAATGTCTTTTTATCTAAGCCATTTGAACCTATTAATTAATGCGCATGTCACGGTAATTTTCTTGCATGTGAGTGGTCAGCGAAAGCAATTGATTCTGAGCACTCCCCGCAAGAAGAGCGAACCAGAGAGAGAGACGTGAGTGCAAACAGACGGGCGGGGCCTAGTACCGTTGAGTGCCATCCAACAGACCGCCAGGTGACAAGTCAGCCTTGACGCTTCTACACACGCAATTTTTTTCAATATCTTAGCTGTGGCACGCGGAATTGACGCTTCTACACACGCAATTTTTTTCAATATCTAGCTCAAGCTGCCGACTTGGGAATTTCGTTGTCATTCCTGGCAAGTTGTATCCTTGACCACGAACTGTTTGTCAGCGTAGGCCCCACAGACCCATGGACTGAGCTGTGGCACGCGGAGGCCGACTTACCCCAAATTGATCTCCAAAGCTCCTTTGACGGAGTCGGGCAATCAACCAGTCCAGGCCACTTGACAGTTGACAGGTGACAGTTGACAGTTTTGATCCCCCGCCTCCTTTCCTACTGGTAATCGTGTGAACGAGGTAATATGAACCGTGTGAACTAGAATGAACTAGAAGCTGATCGATAGATCTTGAATTTCTTCTTTTTTTTTCTTTTTTTTGTTGGACACAGAATGAGACCGACGTCTGCATGTATGCCTGAGATTGCAGGGAACGCCGGCGGGCCCGTTCCGGGCAAGTTCGTCCAGTGGGGTTAGGTTTCTACTCGGTCTTCCTTCCAGCACCTTGTAATTAATTCCTCCCTCTCCCCCCTCCTCTCGGTCGCTCAGCTACTCGGGGCTCGCCCTCTTCTGTCTCGGCTCGCTCCTCCGACGGTGAGCTGACCGTGTTGTGCTTTCCGATGGGTTCCGGTTGATCCCCCACCACACCTCCTTCTCTTGACGCGAGGTAATCAATCCCTCCCTCTCGAACTGTTTTCTCCATCGGTGTGCTTTCATGGTATTGGAACCCATCTCGCCGTCGGCAGTACGCCGGTTTGATGCCGACCATTTGAACTTGGGCTACAGTCTCGGGAACGCCGGACGATCTTACCCGCCTGGATCTTCATTTTTTTTCTGTTTCTGTGGCCTTGCTGCGCTTCTGGCTTTGTGCATGTGTGAGTTATCGGGCTCGTCGGCCTCTTCTCTCCACTCGTTGAAATCCGTTCCCATTTTCCGGGAAGGAGGCTCTGATTCTGCTCCTCGGACCAAGGATCGCTCTCCGCCTCTGGATATTTATATAATCCTCTTTCGATAAATCATTAGCTGTAGATTTTTAGTCCCGCAGAGGTTTGAGATCCTCAAGAGGTTGAACTCTCCTGATTTTTCTTTTTTTATCTCACGATTTTCCATAAAAAATCAAAATCGGAGTATAGATGATTATGGTCCGAGAACTCAGCACCCCCCGTGATAGTAGTGCGTGCCGGGCTAATAATAAGTTTCTGGCAGATTCTCGCGGAGAGTCGCTGGGATAGAGAATCTTGACACGCTGATCGACCTAGTAGCAGTAGTAGCAGTTGCAGCAGCAGCAGCAGCGATGACCTGTTTGTCTTTCATACTCAAGGGAAAGAAGGGTTCACAGGAGAAGGCCATCCCTCCCCATGAAGGTGAACATTCTCCCCCCGTAAGATCATAGACGGTCTCTCTCGTGGGTGACTAATCCTGGGCTTCCTCTCCCAAGATCCCGTTGATCGGGGCTTCCAGATCTTCTCTTACAAGGAGATGAAGCTTGCGACCAGAGGGTTTAGTCAGGCGAACAAGATTGGCGAAGGAGGATTTGGGCCTGTCTACAAGGTGCACTCCATCATCCACGGCCGCACGCTGAGGAAACGTCTTAAACAGATTCCTTCTTCTTTCTCTTAGGGAATGCGTGTGGCCTGAATTGCTTGTTTCCTCTCTTAGGGAAGGCTCAGAGACGGGCGATTCGTCGCCATTAAGGTGCTCTCCTCCGAGTCAAAGCAGGGAGTGAGGGAGTTCCTGTCCGAGCTGACCACTCTCGCGAACATCGTCCACGAGAACCTCGTGAGCCTCTACGGCTGCTGCGTCGAGTCGAACCAGAGAATTCTGGTCTACAATTACCTCGAGAACAACAGCCTCGCGCAGACCCTCCTCGGTAGTTCTTCGCCATCTTCATCATCTTCAACCTCAAATCTGTGCCCTCCTCATCGCAGAATCCTCCTGTTGCCAGGCTCGGAAGGAGACAACGGTGGGAGGTTCGACTGGGAGACCCGGGTGAAGATCTGCGTCGGAGTTGCCCGGGGGCTGGCCTTCCTTCACCAGGACGTACGCCCCCACATCATTCACCGAGACATTAAAGCCAGCAATATCCTCCTGGACAGAGACATGAAGCCCAAGATCTCCGATTTCGGCCTGGCCAAGCTCATCCCGATGAATGCATCCCACGTCAGTACTCGCGTCGCAGGAACCTTGTGAGTACTTTGCATTTCTTCCATAAGTCAGCAGACCCACCAAGATTGATTGATTGATGATGATCGTGGCGATAGTTCATGGGCGCCGGATTAAGATTTTAATAGGATTTTGCTGCTTCTGCAGACCCACCGAGATCGATATTATGTAACCCCCCAAGAGTTGACTCTGGCGGAGGAGATTAATCCTCTGGGTTTTCCTGTTTGCTCCTGTGATGTTGGCCCCTTTCCTTTTGTTGACCCGCCGTGGCGCTGCTTCTCTGCAGAGGATATCTGGCGCCGGAGTATGCTATAAAGGGTCAGCTGACTCGAAAGGCCGACGTTTACAGCTTCGGTGTTCTACTCCTGGAGATCGTAAGCGGCAAGCGCAACACAAACACCAGACTGCCCGTTGAGGACCGTTACCTCCTCGAACGGGTAAGCAGCTATACGAAGATTTCCATCTTCCTCTTAGCCGCGAGAGCAGCATTACTTTGAGGCATATTCATTTGCTCTGTGTCGGGTTTTCTTTCTTCTTCGTCGTAAACATGATGATTCTTCCGACAACTCCTTGAGGGTTGAAGCTTGGTTTCATCATTCTTCCTGCTGTTAATCATCTTCGGCATTCATTCTAAGAGCAAAACCGTTCCTCCGAGTTCTACTTTATTTTCTCGACCCCCCATCATCTCCGGAGATTCATTCATTCGGCTTTCGCTGGTGTTTCAGGTGTGGGCGCTCTACGAACGGGACGAGCTGGTGGCGATCGTTGATCCCGCCCTGAACGGCGACTTCGCCGCCGGCCAGGCCCGCAGATTCCTGGAGGTCGGCCTGCTCTGCACCCAGGACTCCCTGAAACTCCGCCCCTCCATGTCCGCCGCCGTCCGGCTGCTCACCGGCAACGAGGCCCGCGCCAAGGGGCCGATCGCAAGGCCCGGCCTCATCTCCGACTTCTGGGTTGCCGGCGTCGGAGGAAAAGGGTTCGCGTCGGCGACCACCGAGTCCTCCTCCGCCGCCGCCCCCCCCTCCTCCCCATTTTCTTCGAGGAACGACGACACGCGCGCGTCCTTCACCTTCACCACCGTCGCCGATCGCGACGACTGAGGCGCCGCCACTGCCGCCGTCTTCTCTGTTGTTCTCTCTCTCTCTCTCTCTGTGCCGCAGACAGATCACCGATATGACCGTTGCTCCTGTGACTGAGGATGGAGTTTTTGGGTCAAGACCCTGTAAATATGTCAAATTAGCTAAAGTTCCAACCGTTTTCAGCTTTTGAGAGTCGTGCGCCTTCTATCTTGTGTCGGGAAGACAATAGTCTACAATGGGGTAATGCCCGACCTGGAGAGGGACCTTGTTAAGAATAAAATAGATTAGGTTGTTTTCGGGAGAATTTATACATGAATAACTTCTTGGAGGGGGGGAAATTGTTTCACTTCGAAAAATGTTGGGTTTTTAGCTTAATCTTCTACTCTTCGTTTGGCGCCTATAAAAACCGGTGCTCTATGTCTCCTCGGAATAAATCTGATTCGGTCGTCCGACCCTACCCGACGGCGGTGCCCACAGTCGAAGCCGTCTGTGAGGAGACGATCCCGCCCGGGTCACCCACGGAGGTGGCTGCTCCTGATCAGGTACGTTCGTAGGGCTTTCTACTTCTGTTCATCTTTCTTCGGCCGTAGCTCCTGCTGTAATTGCTCCCACGCGTGACGCGTGGGGCGTAGAGGTTTTTATTGGGGCAAGGAATTTTGCGAAATGGATGAACCCTGTGTTGCAAGCTCCTCCGATGGCCGTGATCTTTCTTCTGCCCTGTGGGGTGTCTTCTAGTCTGTTGGTTTGGACGATCACGTGAGAGAATATTTGGTGTAAAGGAAATACCAAGCCTTCTCACCGAAGGAAAGTATTGAACCGAGTAGGAAACCCTGACGCTATTCGAATATACGATGAAGTCGATGAAGGGAGTAATTTCTAATTTTGATTTGTTTCCCCTTTGACTAGACTGTCGTCGTGTGGGATTCTTTGAAAGTCATTGAAACTTTACCATTTTGTTTTCTTGGCTTGAATTGCCTCTTTTCTTACGCCAGCAGAGTCTTACATTGACAATATCTGTTTCGCCTATTTCTCTTCTTCCAAACTCTTTCCTAAGTCTGAAGGTATCATGGAGGATCACTCCCTGGTTACATTACCTGAGCGTATTCTGTGAGAAAGATGGGTCTTTACTTTGCAATTGACGTCGTATCTGGCTTCATCTTGTATAATTTGGAACAATGACATCGCTAGTAAATTGGTATTAGAAAGTTGCAATTGGATTTGTTCCTAGGTGGTCTCAAGGCTTTTAGTGATGATGGCAATGATTGAATTGCAACATACGTCATGCATAATTGATGGATTATCATGTGGACTAGTCTGTATGAGTATCCACCATCCCTTGGGTTTCTGTACATGTGAAAGTGGTGACAGATATTCACCACTGTTCAGTTTAACTGAGTGTGACAATCAATTCATTCTTCTATTATACTTATCCTGCGTATTGATGCAGACCTCATGTGTTCTTATCATATTTTGTGAAATTGAGAAGAAAGTGTACTGTTTGATGATAAAACCAAAAAGTGAAAAACAGAATGAGAAAGATCCTTGAATTTTAAATATTTCTTGTGGAATTCTTGCCACAGATATGATCTTGTATTTTACCTCTCAGTCCATGATCTTCTGCCTTTTTATTGTATAAATAATTTTTTATTATAGAAGTAATTTATTTTCTTCTGTGATGGAGCAGGCCAACCATGGTAATATAACTAATTTCTTCTAACCATAATTTTCAGGATTTGAGCTTCTCTTTTTCGTACAAATGGCAGCATTAACATCTCCATCAAATTTAGCACTTCCTTCGCTTTCAATCTCACCTAGGAGTGCTTTAGGTAGGGCGTCCTCTTTTGTTTGAGATATTGTGTTTCAATATGGCCTTTTGATTCCTTTTGATACTTCATTTTTATGATTTTATTTTTGAATTTTTAAATATAGCAATGTACTCTGAAATGGTCGTAAATATAAGGAGGTTATTCTGCTATCTCAGACATTGCTATTGTATGCGAGGTGCTGAAGAGCATCATTATCTTATGTAATTTTGATATTATTTATTTTCTTGATTGGAAATTGCAATAGCCGATCTTCATGATGTAGTTTTACTTTAATTCTCGCCATCCACTAAAAATAGGCTTCATCTGTTATTGATTGGGTGGTGATAATTTTAAACAATGACTTATACTTTTTGTGTGGAAAAAAAGGCCATGGTATTTTGTAAGATTGACAAGTATATTAAACCATCCGTGAAAACCCTAAGTCTCATTTCATCAGGAATGGTAGTAACAACCTCACGACATACCCAAGTGAAGGAAGAAAATATGCATCTTCCTTAAGCATTTATTGCCCTAGGAAACCTCCTTGATCTTAGATTGACGTCACTAAATCCTTTTCTGTTATGAAGTCATGTATATGTGGAGGCAAGAGGTTCCAATGTAGTGAGGCTGTTTTCAGCAATGCACCACCATTCCGTCCCTTTTTTTGGAGATGAGGCGCCGGGTGGGTTGTTGGGGTTTGGGGGGCTGTGGTGCTGTGGCTTGGATTGCGATGCTTGAAGCTGGAAAACTCGAAATTTCCCTTTTCCTCTGTAAAAAAAAAGGGGTCTAGTGACTTTGAAATTTTATCAGAGAAAGGTGCTGTAAACCACCCCCCGCCACACACACCTCCACGCTCTTAACCGCTGGATCTTATTTTTCATTGACATGCTTTTATTTTATTTCCCATATTTCAGTTGAATGGAACAATATTTTTGCAGGACCGGTGGAGAAAACGTTGTTGATATTTGATCATGAGTAGCTAATGATGCTCATAGACAAGCTAGAATCTTAACCCATGATGTACGGTGTGTTGATTTCCGTTTGATTATGTTAACAGATTTTTGGTCTTGGCTCTCATGTATGCGTGGGTTATGCATGGGTTTATTTTTGAAAAATTCAAGCCTTTACTTACCTGATATAAACTCTGTATCTCACATCTTTTTCTGTATCGCACTGCTTCCGGGGTTTCCATCTGAAATATGGATTGCATCATCATCATACCATGATGGATAACTACTTAGTTCAGAATGATTCGATAATTTTTTTTTGCAGTTGAGGTTCTTTTTTTCTCATCTCAATGATTCTGCAGACAAGTCTCTGGGTGGAAGGGTCAAACATGCGGGATCTGGTGCTCTAGTCTCATGTCTCAGATGCGAAGCATTTCACAGCAGACGAGCCACTGTCGCAAGAACACTTAAACCACGTGCTTCAGCTTTGGTATGCGCATCTGCAGCTTTGGTGAGTGGTTTTCTGTATTTTTCTCTTTCAATGAGGAAGTTCAATTGGCAGCAGTTGTGACCTCACATTCATCATCTCAGTATGATCAAACATCAAATTGCTAACATATATATTTAGTAGGGTCTATGATCGCCAATTATTTATGCTGCAGAATGCGCGATGTGCTGCAGAACAGACACAGACTGTTACACGTCAATCATCAACGATCACTATCGCTCCTATCCAAGGTACCGACCTAAAAAACCCTCTGGAATATTGTAATTCCATCCCGTTGTCGTAAAAGGTGATTTTAAATGGAATCTGAAAATAAATCAATGTCTAATTCAGGCAAGGAGAAGTCTCCTGAGCTTGACGATGGGGGCTCTGGGTTTCCTCCGCGGGATGACGATGATGGCGGTGGCGGCGGCGGGGGCGGTGGGCCTGGATGGTCTGGTGGTTTTTTCTTCTTCGGCTTCCTCGCTTTCCTTGGCTTCTTGCAGGATAAAGAGAGGGAAGGAGACTACAGGGATAGAAAGAAAAGATACAGTTATTAAGTCGGCCCATCTCCTTTTGATCTATACATATTCCATGCAGGCTGCTGTTGCATCAATATATCCATCCAGCTGGATTTGTTATGGCTCCAGAGGTGGTGTGGGCTTTTTCGTCCACGAGAAAGTGTGATTACTTTGATCCATTCCCTGACTTCTGTGGGCTATATATATATACATATGTAGAAATGTCCTGATGTGCCCAACCAAAACGTCAGCGAACGCACTCAAAACTCTGAAATGTACAAATGTTCTACTTCCTGGAATTACTCACTTTTCAGGTGCTTTAGTTAGTTTGATTCCTGAGAGAATCTCATGATTTTTTTTGCTCGCATGAGTTGATTGATTGATGGATGGAGCCTCACAGTGGCGGCAAACTTATACTGTTTTTATTCTATAAACCTGAAATGGTCATAGCCTTTAATGGTGATTACAACAGACTCCATTCTATTATTCACCAAAGAGCATCATCCATTGGATACGTTCTTTTCCATAAACCATACATTAAATTGATGCCCATCTTCTTCAAATAGGGAGATTCTGAGTAGATTCTTGCATCCTTTATTCATTAACTGGTAAATTTATTCATTATCTTACAATAAAAAAAGTAGACGCTCAAGAGGCACACAGAGCTCTCCCTGTGTTCGCATCCAAGGCTTTTCCCATGTCTGAGGTGGTCATCCATCTGTTCACATGTGCTTCAGAGATGCCAGCCTCTTCTCCAAGTCTTCAACATCGGGGGCTGCTGGTGCAGTTGAACTGCCCATTCAACACATTAAGAGAGAGAGGTTGAAAACAAACAGCTTAAGCATGGAAAGCGCATTCAATACTATTAATGTTGGTCGTCGCTCTTTCACCTTTGTAGATTCTCAGCTTTCCTGGCTGTTGCAACCCGACCTTTTGGAGCTGATGATAACTGAAGAGGTGAAAACTTCAGATTAGTCTGTCCCCAGATATATTTATATTAATTGGCTTTTTATTACTTCAGGAAACATTTTGATTTCACAATGTACCTGTGAAGCAATGTCCACTCCAATTTCGTCGAGTACCTGGAGAAGACAAAACTCTCGGTCACAATAAATTTCATTGTAATACTCTTGTACATAAGGTGGTCTTCCATTTTGTACAATGTCACTACTTCTTCCAACCTAAAACAGAAAGGAAGAGTGCATCATCACCTGGTTAGTGAGCTCCTCCGTTTCTTCTTCAGCCTCATCTTTGTCCAGAGTTTCATCAATTGCTTCAGACATCATCTCCATCTGCAAGGGCATGCAAACTCAGAGAGGAGGTATTTGATAGATACACAATTTGATGAATCATTTTTTTCTTTCTTCTTTTTTGCTACAATTTTGAGAAAACTCAGGGGCCCACCCAATTCTACACTGGGATAACCCAGAGAGAGTTTTAACAAGCGGGGAGTACCTCGGAGATGATAGTGTCTGGCACAGATTCCTCGTGAAAAGAAATGTTTTGCATATCTTTGGCATAGTTTCCGCGGGCTTTTACTTTATGAGAATGTCAACTTTTTGCATTGGACCATATCTTTTGGCGTTCGAGTGTACATGTTGAATTTAGTCACTATTTTGAGGATACAATGTGTATTGGCATGGCGACAAGAAAGCCAAATTACGTGATAAGTTGGACGCATTCCAGGGAGTTGAGAAATTTTGTTGGATCGGAAGGACTAAAAGTCTCCATCCGGACCCATTTTCTGCTCATCAAGAACCGCTCTTCTTCTCCCCTGTTTGAGTCCGTCCTGATGACAATATACTGACAGAGGAAACGATTTTAGAACTAGGGCTCTGCACCGAATAGTCAACAATTTCAGGAACCCTGCTAATTGTTTCCCAAGTTCTTTTTCATTTTGCATCACTCATCTCTCAGACTTCTCTCTACGAAAATTGAAGGGTTTCAAATGAACGTTCCATTTCCCTCATTCAGTCATATCGACTCTTTCAAATGTGCTAGAACACAGTCAAACTACTATCTCTCTTGCACACACAGGCATTGCATTGTCTGATCTGCTAGGTATTGCCACTAGTCCATGAGGCTCTCATTCTAAGTGGCAATCCTGTCACCTTTTTCACATTGCTCTACGAAGCCTAAGCCACACAAGGTTCATCTGAAATTGTACGCATTCACGAAGCCCAAGCCTACGCTCTTATGATCCTAAATGATATAGCTATGTGTCCCACATACCTAGTAGCACATTTGACTTAATGTGAACCTTGCATCTAGTAAACAACCCAATTACTAATGTTCTCCTCAATGCAATGTGAGCCTTGTGACTAGTGACTCATTTGACCAATGATCAACCTAGTATTGGTTGGATTGCCAAATATCAAAGTGAATTGCAAGCTTATCATCCACATATTACATGGAGTTTTTTGAAGCCCAATAGTCCAAGCCATTGGAAGCACACCAAAAGTTCTCAAACAAACTTCAACCTTTGGAAGTATGAAATTATCTTTAGCCTAAAAAGTCATCAAATGGGATTCATCTCACAAATTGTGAAACGAGTTTTAGTCATATAATTTTATTCAATGAGGTTTGGCCTAAAAATTTGTCAAATTATGTTTAGCTTTAAAAGTCATCTGGGCTTCATCTCAAAGGAGTCATAAAAAATTATCAAATAAGCTTTTGTCTAAAAGTTGCCAAACAATTTTTGGCTCGAAAGATTGTCAAATAGATTTTAACCAAGATAACTGTCAAACAAGCTTCAATCAAAACAATTCTCAAGAGTGCATTAGCCCAAAAAATTGTCAAACAAGCTTCAGCCTAAGTTGACTAGGCATCATCTATGCGAGATGCATTGACTCTCTTTATGAGATGCATCCTATGAGACGATCAAATGAACTTCTATCCCATTGACTCTCTATATGAAATCCATCCGATAAATTATCTAAGGACTTAGATACCTCAATGTTTGTGACATCATTATTTTAAGTGATCCTTCAAAAGAAAATAATTAACACTAACGTATGTTCTTGGATACAATCTAAATCCAAATAAACTAAAAAAATCCTAGTCATTAATAGGCCATTAGAGAGAACTGAATATAATAAAAAAATAATATGTTAATCTCTAATCTTTAAAAAATGGACAAAGGATACAAGTTAAAGACAATTGAAAAAGAATTCACATTACATATGCTAGGACCAACATCCTTAATGGTTCATCAATGAGATGTCCTTTTCAAGCCTATCCTATCCACATACACAAGATCTGTGATTTATCTTAAATGGTACATCAATTAGCGTAATGAGGATAAAGAACATATGATCCTATAGACTTCAAAACATCTCAACTTTATTCAAACAGATAGCATTTATAGCTACTATAAATTAGCATAATGTCATTTCTAACCATATCTATCATTCTCTATTATGATTCTCCCTCTGCAGTTGTTTGTGCATTGTTTCCTGCATAACGAACTGTAATCTCCTTGGAGATCATAAGTCACCGACCTTTTTGTTGATTCTTTCGTTCGTTACTTTACATGCAAGAACAATAACACAATTACATGCATAACAGCCTCTCTTTTATCCGATTGGTACTGTTTAGCATTTGTTTTATGAGCTTGATCTCATTTTCTTTGCTTTACAAGGCAATTGCGATAACATAGAAACACTCAAAATGATATGGAACAATGAGATCAAGCTCGTAGATTGAGATAAATGAAACACATTTGAAAGGTGTTGATTGATACAATGAGATCATACTGATCATATGAATACAATGCCATCCACTTGGAGTATTGGCCGTCATCCATGTGTAAATTATTTGAAAAGAATTCTATCCTGTCAGGATTGAAGAAATATCCCAACGTATACATTTTTAATATCAGATGTGTTGATTGATATTATTTAGGTAATAGACTATCAGGCATGATAATATTGAAATACTGGATTGAAAATAGACTCCTACCGTCATATCCATTTGTGTTGATTGCTTCTGGAATTCCCTCACTATCTTGGCCTGTTTTGCAGGTTCCATTTGCTGAAATACACAATAGATTGCATAAGAAAAATAAAAAATAAAAAATGACAAAACTAAACCTCCATGTATGCAGAGCTTCTGAAACACACATGATTGTCTGATGAATGGAGAAGCTTTGTCAGGATTAAGACTGATAAAAACATACTTTATTCATTGCAGCCATGGCTTTACTTGCACCTTTCATCCCGACAGAAATCGAAGTATTGGCATACATAGCCTGAAAATTAGAAAGAGAAATGTTTTATAGAGGGCAAGGAAAGAAGGATGTGAGTAAGAAAATGCGAAGTGAAGCTTTAATAATATGACCTGTGTGTGAGTTGCCACGCCTCTGATTTGTGCACGAGTACCCTGCAGATTAGTGATTTGCTGCCGCAATCTTATCAGCTGTCGAGCTAAAATTTTCGTGGCAGCCTGAAAAAAGTAAGCTAGTTCTGAGCTTTATTTTTTCTTATTTAAATCATTGATGTCACACAGATATGACACTCTGAAATCCAGGTTTACATCTAAATCACGAAGAGAACTTTATTTTTCCAAACAGAAGAATCAATCTATGTAGACATAAAGAAATTCATGGATGATTATAATGATGGATCTTGCCTCATTGCCGGTTTTTGCTGTCTTCTTAATCTCAGCTACCAACTTTTTTTCCTGTCATGATAGATTCAGTCTAAGAAGATGTAGCAGTGAAAAAAATTGATGAAAAATTTCAAACAGTGGCCATTATCTTCATACTTCTAACTGAAGAGAACCAATTTCCCGTTCAATCCCTGAACACGTCAAAAAGAAGAACCCAAGTCAGATAATGCTAGCCTTCAGTGCGTATTAGAAACTCTGATACAATATTTAAATCATATTCAATTCGTGTCATTCATAAAACAAGGATCTTCTTCAGTAACAAAGCCTTGCCTGAACACTCTATCGCTATACATCCAAAAGACAATAACAAGAACAATACCCTTTTGCCTGATGAAATGGTTGGGTGCAGGAGTACACATTATTATTTTTTCATCACTCCTTTATTCTTAAAGTTTGGCAACATACTGTTAGCAGTAAATTTTCAATGTTGACGGTTGCTAAGAAACATTCTGTCAACCAAAATATTTTTGCCAATAAAACAATCTTTACGTTTACCAAAAAATATTAACTTGAAAAAAATTAAAAAGATTTCATCAATTTGGACATTATTTTCCCTTGAGAACTTTCCACGAGACAGCTTAAATACTTTATTTGACGCACATGAAGCAATCAATATGTTTTGTTAAGGAGTGATTTAATTTCTCACAAGGCGTTCAAATGGTTCTATACTTATTTTTAAGGACACATAAAACTACTTTTTAACAAAAAAGTCGATAGAAAAGTTCTCTAAGAAAAGTTATATAAAACAGCACGCAATCATCATGATTTAGACTCAACATCACAAAAGAATTCCTTAGTTACCTGACCATCCGGATAGATGAGAAGTTATTTCTAAGAAATGTATCTTCATATACGAAAAGCGGTTGCTAGTGAAAAAGGAGTGTATCTACTTCCAATTTCATATGCATCGTCTTTTGACATGTTCTACAGCTACATGGAATACCAAGGAAACACAACTCTTGGCTAGTGAAAAAGTGTGTTCTTCTTCCAACTATCCTAAAAGTATAAAATGTTATTAAAAATATATAGGCGCTCCTAGGGTAATAATCCTGGGTGGTATAAGGGATAAAAGGATTTTGCACAGGCTTTTCCTCTTTGTTGCTTGTCTACGATGATTTTCTGCGTGACAAAATGGTGACGCCAGCAAGTGCTCCCCTGAAAGGAAGTAGCCTAAGCTGTTATTAATACAACATACGCGGGCGTCGTGTCTGGTATTTCTTCAAAGAAACCGCTATGTTAGCTGAGACAAAAAGGACTACGAGAACAACCCGGAGATGGGAGATCATTATTACCTCTTGTTGCCACTGTCATTTCTCTCTTGCTCGTCCTGAGTTCATCTGTGGCCAATGAGAAGAAAATTATCCTTCAAGAAAGAGAGTCGTCCAACAAAGAAGTGTCGAATAGAAACTGCAACAGGAAATCATTAAGCGGGGAGAAGATCCATCGAGAGCGGACACATTAAGGGGCGAGACGACGATGAATCGTCAACAAAACCCAGGCTGAAAAATTCATCAGCGTGATCTGAGGACTAACTGTAGCTATACACAGAGACAAAGAAACACAACTCCATTGAAACCAAAACCGCGCTAGAATCAAGGAAAGCCAGAAAAGAGTCTAAGAGAAGACCTAAGAGACCAGAGGACCAGGACATATTCACCAATAAAACCAAGGGATAAAACAAAAGAAAAATCAAAAAATGAGTTCAAAATGCAGTGAAAGGAAGAAGGTCCTTCCATCGTCCCCAGAATGCGTACCTTTGGCGTCCTTCTTCTTGAAGATTGTAATCTTCTTAAAGAGGTTGTTCATCTTCGAAACCTCCCCCCCTCCCTTTCCGGAGGTGGAGAAGAAGAGATTCGAAAGCCCTAGGTATCCAGAATGCTGATGACAGAGAGAACCACGACGAGATCTCCCTTGGATCCGCGGGCTCTCTGACGCTCAGTTATGGGGCGGGAGCTTCTCTCATTTCTTTAGCTGGAATGGAATGGTCCAATGTAGCCGTTGCGGATCCCGAATATTTTTCCAAAAACACCCCCATTAATATCTCATATTATGTACATACCACTCTGTTCGAATACCTATCAACGACTACAAATTATTGGAGATCTTCTACCGCCGACATTGTCGAATCGGGAGGGGGGCGAGTCCCACAGATTACGAGGTTAAATACAGAAAGACCCTTCTATATGCCACATATTACGAAAATGCCGGCGCCGCGAATTCGTCCTGGCCCACCGCGGTCGCTCATCCATCCTTGTGAGGCCGTGTGGTCGTCGACGCTCGGGCAATCTGCTTCATACTTCACCAGTTCGCACATTTTTTCTGGGCTTTTTCCAAGCTAGTCTACCTCGGAATAGATAAACTTTGTCGGGTCCTAGAGGACCTGAAAAGTCAGATTCCGGTCAACCCATATTGGGATGGGGGATCATACGAGAACCAAAAGGAAAAAACCAGCCTGCAAGAGGCATGATGCTGCCCAGAAGCAAAACCAGTAGACTTTTTGCCTAATTCTTTTGGGATTGTTCTGATCTCCAACTCGATGTAAGTTCCTGCTAAAATTAATGTGAATTCCCTTTTAAGGCGTTGCAGACACTCGGTGGAACATTTTTCTAAGAAATCTACGATGGACGGCTGTAGGCGTGCCATCTCGATATCGACACTTTTTTCGCCATGCCGTGCCCGTTGTGAGGATCAGTAGTAGCTCGACGTGGGCAGCGCCATAGCGGGGCGAGGAGGGTCGGGAGGAGCCTCTTAGATAGAGTCAATCTCAATATTCCCTCCCGCTGCTGCTCGACGGTCTTTGCTCGCCCTACGTTTATGGTGACAAAAAACCACGTCCCATTCTCCTCCACATTCGTGGTTCGGCACATGGTTTCTCTCCGTGGGATTTACGAGGATTTCCTCCGGCGATTCGTTCTCAGTGGATGTCCCCGGTTCCTTCCGCTTATACTCCTGCTTGGCCTTCTGCTCTTCGGATCCATTCCAAACGAAGATTCGGTCGGGATTGTTTCCTTGGCTTTTCGTTTTACTTCTTTTTGTGGGTTTTGGCGGCGGAAGAACAGAAGCTTGCTTCTGTCTGATTTTACGAGCCTGACATTGATCTTGCGAATGATACGCCGGAGAGTTTCGTGGAGTAGTCGCCTGCTGATCTGGGCGTCGCCGTGTTGCAGCAGCTCCTCATGATCATCAAAGGGCTGTTAAGGAGGTACGAGAGGTGGAACCCTGTCCACCCCACCGTGGGGGCCTTCTGGGGCATGGGAATAGGCGTCGGGTGTGGCGTCGGATGGGGCCCTGGGTTCGGTCCGGAGGTGATAGGCTACGTTGGAGCTGGCTGCGGGGTGGGCTTCAGCGTCGGACTCACTCTGGCAGGGGTGGGCGTTGGGCTCCCCGCAAACGCCCTCATAGAAGTTCCCTATAACGGTAATGTGCTCATCTCCGGAATTTCTCACTGTTTTTGCGAATAAATGATCGAAAAAGTCAAGTCTATGAAATCGCATGGTGTGTATGCTATACAGCCAGATCATGGGTTGGTCTGTGACATGTGGTTCTCGCCTCTGCTGGTGGTCTTCGTCTTCTCATCTGTTTGATCCAAAGAAATCAGTGATGACTTCCCCGTTACATGGAATTGGAATCGTTGATGCACTAAGTTGAATGTTTCCAAAGAAGACGTGGATCCGAATTTTAGACTACATTCAACCTATGCCCAGTCAAAAAGGCGTTTTCTGAACATCATATTGGTGTATATATCTCTCAGTTTAGCAAGTTCTTCTCAACTCATACTCTGCTAGAAGAAAACCCACTAGAAGGGAGCATTGTTGGTGACGGTTGGGATGCGAGTTTCTTGTCTGTTCATTCTCAGAACTCATATTAGTCATTAACTAAATCAGGGAATGCCAAGTAAATGAGCCTCATTTTCTGCTTCATAGTTTGGCAACTCTTCGTTCTCAAACATTCTTCCTTTGTAGTTGGTGCAAAAAGAGAAATCGATTTTTTCTGACAAATAGAAGCAATTGCGAAGAAAACTGTAATGTCAATAAACTAAGCAATTGCAAACTAAGATTGATTAGATTTTGATGATTTTGTATTGTCAATAAACTGTGATAAGCATGCGTTTCCGATCTCATCAGTTCTTGTTCATAGCCTAGCCCCGTGATGCAAATAAAAATTATCCTTGTTTCACATATCTTCTGTGTTGCTCCAAAGAAATGACTATGCTGTTTTCTTTTCAACTTCTTTTTCAGTGACAAGCCGCAGTGCTGAAAATGCTTTAGGTTTTGCACGATCCATAACTGCGAAAAATATCTTTGAAGAGAGATGGGACTGTGTGGTTCCACAAATATCTGTTCTGACTAAAACAGCCCACGACAGACTTTCATGCTTCAATGTGAAACTTCCTCTGAGCGAAGGATTTGACTTGACTGAGCTGAGCAAGTCTGTATCATGCCGTGCTCAGTCAACTTTGGAATGTTTGGACGCGTTTATAAACAGGCACTTAGCGCCTGGGAGAGGTAATCTCTAACTTAAACCTTCATCCTCCCTTTGCAAATGTTGTCTTTGTTTCATAGCAAGCCAAGTTAAAATCAAATTAGCTCATCAGATTGTGAGGAATCTTCGATTCGGGGGAGTGCTTGGAATTCTCTCACTAATTGGCCTCCTAGAATCTGTCCAAGCACACAAAAGGTTGACTACTTTTTTACCCAGTCAAAGCAACAGTCGACTCCCTCTAGAATCGCCTTTCATATTGATGTGAAGAGCACTCTCTCTAGATTAGAGGAAACACTGCGCTAGAAACGATCAACATAGACCAGAGCGATGTTTCGGATGTTTTCACTGATGACTCTTCCACATGGTTCTTGGTTATTGATAATTTCTTGTCCATAAAATTTGGCACTTTTTTAGACATGAGCGATGCTTTTATCTTGGCCTGTAGCACGAGCATTTATGATCCCACGTCTCCACTCAAATGTCCTCCCATTTTTGTTTGCAGGTTCCAGCCAAAGTTCGAGGGGAACAAAAGGGTGATGATGAGCACCTCTGGAATGGATGATATCCTTTCCTCCCTTCCTTCCTCTCTCTCTCTCTCTCTCCCTCCTCAGACAGTGGAGACAATCCTTTCTCATTGATGGGTGGGGAAGAAAACCCATCCATTCCTGGAGGGAGAAGAGAAGACCAAGAAGAAAGGGAGTGCACTTTGCCCATTCCAGTGATCATGAATGAAGATGTCTCCCCGGGAAGAAGCAACACCAGTACTGGGCCTGTCTCTCTACTTGCACCACATCCATCTGCATGGTTTGAGCTGCGAGTCCCCTTTTCTTTGGGTGAGGGTGGTGTGGGAGACCAGAAGACGAAACACAAGTTTCTCGTGTGATGACCCATCAGAGGAAATTAGAGTGGATTTTGGCTATTTTCTTAGGCATCCTTTGAGCATTTCATCGCCGTTTGTAATTTCTACTCTCTCCCACGATACGATGGCACACGAGGAGAAATAAATATTATATTCTTTTTTCTCAGAAAGTGCTTATGACCTACAAGAAACCTGGAAAGCGAATTAGTCAGTAGATACAATGGGACACAAAATATTATATTCATTTTTCTGAGCATTACTGGCCCGCAACGTTCCACACTCCCTTGAAAACTAATAAAATTAGTAACGAAACAGTACGCCGGAAGAACACCTCGGATGACACAGATATTTCATTGTGATAATTAAAATGCCAAATGTTATGCCCGCATTACAAAATATAAGTACCTTTAATAATTAACTTAAAAGCTTAATTTCCTGAGACAGTCACTAGCAATTTAACACAATGTCACAATCCTGTACTTCATCTTCCTAATGGCTGAGAAAGAAGACAGCCTTTCTCAAATGGAGCTCATGTGCTGCTATAAACCTTTTACCAGAACTAGGACATTACTGACACACCGGGCAGATTTTCCAGCTTGCCTTCGTGCAAATAAATTTCCCAACATTATGGGAAGATGACTGACGGTTCTTTCTTTCTTAAGACGATTAGTATTTCAGTAAAACCTTATGGCATCATTAAGCGTGTTAGATAGACAGATAGACAGACAGGATGGTTCATCTACACCGGGACAAAACAAATCTTAAGCTTCTATGTACAGCATAGGAAGAAGCTGCGGATACAGTGAGTAGCCAGTCAGGGGCCAAAAACACAGACAAATAGCTGAGTTAATTTCTCTCTTTCACTCTATTAAAGCTCACATATCCCGATAAACAAATTTTGAGTCTCCCAGAGCACGACAATGCTTCCTTTTCTCCCTAAATTTACATCAACAAGCTTTCAATAACACACCACCTGAGAGCAAGGGGATCACTTTTTCTCTGTAGTAACTCCAACCACGACATTGCTCACCTGCACAGAGCAAAAGAGCAAGGGGGGTGGGGGGAGTGGGAACGTTTAGTCTCTCGGTTGGCAGTATCTTTTAGTTAATTGTTCAATATACCCCAGAAGCAAAACAGCTAAGAGAGACTCACCAGTTTGCCGGTCTCGTCAACTGACATTGGGTTCTCAACGACCACTGTTTGGCCGTGGGCCTGTGGCAATGGCTGCCAAGAACAAACAAAACAGATGATGAGGGACAGAAGATTAGTAATTATGGACAGTTGGAGATTCAGAATCTCAACATAACTGAAAAGGAAAGGAACCCAGAAATTGATGACCCCATTGATTTAGGAACATACAGCTGACGTAGATGCAGAGGTCGGTATCGATCCATTGGACCTCTGCATGGGGATGGGCACCCTCATGCTGTTCAACTGTAGAGGAAGCGCGAGTTCATTGAGGTTGAAAAAAGAGAGAGGAAAAAAAGACTTATAAATGATGGTCAAAGAATCTGAAAAAGGTAAATACGGCTCACCCCAACGTCGGTGACAAAGTGGCAAACAGCACACCTAACGGATGGGGCGCCAAATGGGTACACTAATGTAGTGTGGCACCGACCGCAGTTCACATGAGCCATTTGGTTGGGCGTCTCTGCACCAAAAAAGCGCAGTCAGAAGCCCAGGCAAAGAATTTTGGATGCAGAAAGTGCGTGTGGCCTTTTTTTTGGCCCATCTTTTTAAGATAAAATCGTTTCTTTTCGTAACGTAATCAATGATATTGTAAACTGAAATCAGGGAATATGACGAGAAACTACTCAGTCTTTACTGATAAATGCTCCTGAACCTTGGAAACGGCCATGTGAACACAATACCACTATAAGAAGGCCATATCATTACCATATTGGATGGAGCAAAATGCAACACCAATCCCATCTAAAGCAAAGTATCAAAACAATAGAGGGAAATAGTGGGAGTAGAGGTAATCACTGGCAACTTTTTTCAATCATGCCAAAAATTCAAAGGTACACGGGGACAACGAGAAATCAACAGTGAAATAATCCTCACGGAAATTAGAGCTATGGGATGTTCCATAGCTTTGTGGTTCACCTTTCCCCCCTTCCACTGCAAGCAGACCTACAAAATGGTACTGACATGGACACTACCACATCTAGTCCAAGGACCATAAAACAATGACATTGTCTTATCTTTCCTCTCGAAAAGTTCAGAATCATGCTCATTTCTCTTTCCATTTCGATTTCAATACATTACAATAAAAATAGTTAATGCTTTGTTCATCAAAGCATAGACCTAAAGCAGTATTCCTTCTTCAATGATAGATTTTCTTGGTAATCCATTCTATACAAAAACTAATTAACATAATTTTTTCATTTAAAAATACTGAAAATTCTTATTAAGGTTGTTCAAAAGGTTACTCAGCTAACTATCACTATTCTCATAGAAAATATTGGCAAGCGAAGCAAAACACAATTTAGAGCTCGAGGGTGTCAATTATGACCCAATTGGCTTCATCTAGGTCTCCGTTTGCTTTGAGTATTAAGGCTTTCCCATTTCTTAAAATAATAAATATTAATTTGGTCTGTATTACTCTCTATCACCAATAGTAGGCATTTAAACTTTTATCACTTTTTCTCTTCTGTCTCTTTCCTTTTACTAGTGATGACACCATCATGATTGACTAAGAAAAGATAGGGTGAACTTAGAAAAGGTAATTCCTTATTTAATCACCCATCCTCTTGCACTTAATTAGATAGAAGATGTGAAGGAAATTATCACATTTCATGTTTGATAAAAAACCTTCAGTGATTCTTTTCAAGCGGCATTATCACACCAAGTATACCGAAGAGAAGAACACCTTGAATGGAAAAAACAACATATTTAAAAGCAATTGGTCAAAAAAATAATCAGAGATCCATTCGTAACTTATCAAGAGATCTATAGAGGCACAACACAATCAAGTCTGCCAACTGAGTGACACTAGAAATGTCCTAAACAAATACAAGTCAGGCTTGAATTGTGCTGGGCAACAATTCAACTTTCAGCTATCATAAGCAAGGGGAACATCGTATGATACAAATTTGGATCTTTAAATAGTGACGATTAGAGAGGAAAAAAGGCTTGAAGAACCTAACAAATAGATACAAATAAATAGCATTTGCCTGTCGATATGAAATAAATGCAATTGGAGCAGTGCTATAACTGATAAGCGCATCAATAAATAAGCATTAAGAACTGAAACGCAAATACCTGCTCGTGCAAGATTAATCGTGTTGCAGCAAGCACATCTCACATTTGCAGCACCACGAGCATACATAAGAGGCGTTCTGCAGCCTCCACAAACCAGTTGAGCCATCTCCATTCCTAAATGAGATATAAATAGTTTCGGTATTTTCGCTTTAATACTCAAGGTGAAACTCATCTCCTCAAGACGGAAGAAACACAATTTAGGTAAATGAAGATGCATTACTTAAAATGCCGAAATCATTTACGTGAGAATATACAGCCCGTGATCCTTCATTTGGTGTCAGGTCCTTGTTAGTGTGAAGAGGTATAAAAACCTCTAGTTTAGATTCATGGTTGGACTTATCAGATTGGCTTTGGTCATGGGGAACTCTATTTACAGACCACCAATCTTTGATGGATCAAAGCAGAGTCATTGGAAAAAAGAAATACAAATTTTCGCTCAAGCTAGGTATTGTAAGTTGTGGTAGATGGTCACGGTTTTTCTAGAAAAAAGGAATCCAAGAAAAAAATTCAACAGTAAATGCTTAGGCAGCAAAGATTATATATATCCTTCTCCCGATGTCGAACTTGATAACCCTGTTTCAACACGTTAAATCATGAAGGGGATTTCGAATAAGTCAGAAATCAACATGGAACAAGGTCAACATTCGAAGTTCATGACTCCAACTTAAGTTTGATGGCACAAGAGGAAAGCATTGAAGAGGTATGTCCTCAATCTCGAAGCTCATTTTCATATGATGAATTAAAAGATCTATTTGAAGAACTGTTCATCGAGTTAGAAAAATTACAGAGAATATTTAAATCATAAAAAGGATCTATTTCTATTTCAATTGAAATTCAAGCAAAAAATAAATAATTTTTTAAAAAAATAAGATAATTAGTTGAAAAATGAAAATCATGATTTGAGAAAAGCACATGAAGTAACAATATAGATAACTTGAAGGAAAGAAAATATCTATAAAATAAGTTAGCATCTTTGAGAAATGAATTAAAAGGATGATCTTCATATCATACCACATAATATGGTTGATAGCAGAGATAATGTTAAATTAAAGCGTAAAAATCATCATTGAATTTGTATGAAAGAAAACTTTCGTGCACCAAACTTCATGTTCAAGAAATGTATTTCATCTCATGTAAAACTAATCTATTTCAAAAGCCTCCTCTGCTAAGCGCCATTGGTATTCTATCTCATGCATTGCATGAAAATATTACATAAGGAAAGGTCATAATAGACGTGAGAAGAAAATACTACAGTTTGGGTTCCAAAAGATCAACTTGAAGATTTTGTAACTTCCAATAAACCGAAACAGATTTGTATTCCGAAATAAAAATTCTAAGGAATTGTAGAGCTAAGTAGACAAATAAGGTTTAACTTTAACGAGTAGGCATGGCAGGGTCATAGTTTCGTTTGTTTAACATGCATTGATTAGAGGTTTTTAAATATGATATAGTTGTCCATTGATTACCATGATTGTTCCATGAACCCAAAATATTTTATCTTGGCTGACAATTATTCGCATGATTCTGTTAGGCCCTTGGGCCTAACTTATTCCCACAAGAGAAAGAGGGCCCAGGGCCAAGACCCCACAGTGGGCTGGTCCAATTGTGAACCATTAGAGAAGGTTCAGGAGGTATCTCATGTATAAGATGGGGTCTGTTGGAAAGAGAAAGGGGCCCCTGATAGATTAGGGTTAGCCACCAGGAGAGTGAGGAGCTCTATAACTCCTCGAACACTAGGGGTTTCGACCCGCCCTCTTTTGTCTCCTTTCCTTTTCTCTCTTTAACTGAGTGAATCCCTTCTTTAATATCCCTGGGTGTTGTTAAAGATTCATATTGTCATTTATTAAGGGGAGATTTCATGATTCATTGCAACCAAAATTAAGAAACTTATTTCTTCCATTTCATAAAAAAGGATATCTAAGCAGAGGATAATGTTATTCCTTATTTGAAATGATTTACCTTTTCGGTTCATAAAAAGAGGGAGACTATTTTAAATAAAAATGCTAAGTTTGTAAACATTGAATATTTATTGAAATCGTAGTTCATCACTTGAGAACTATAATTCACCACCATACTTTTCTGAAGCAATTGAATTTATTTTTTTTATCACTTTCTCAGGCTGTCTTATTCACATTGAAGGGTTTTTAAGTTGATTTGCTTATTTTTCAGTTGTATTTGAACATCTTGCGATTACACAAGGCTTGAGGTGCTGTAAAAAGAATATTTGGCATCTTGGAAAGCGAGCTTGTAATGATAAGGTAGGGGCTAACCTAGTGAAACAAGGGAAGGCTGGGGATTATAGTTCATCAGTTAGAGAAACGACAATAAAATTTATTGTGTTGAGTACGTGTGGTTTACCTGTATTATTTGTCATGGAACCAATCCTATAAATGAATACAATTCCACCCCGCCTGTATTTTTAGAGACCCAACTAGGGCCATCAAGATGATATAGCTTTGCTCTTATCTTAGCATCTCTAACGCAATATATAAAGGCCACTAAACATTCATCAATTTCCGCCCTACAGATCTAGTGACAACAAAAGCTTCATCAGCATTTCATGGAGGCCTTTTCCACAGCTAAATCAACAAGGCTACACTAATTTTTCAAGTCTCAACTCTAGAACCTTTCTTTTGAAAGTAATCTATTAAAGGACCAAATGGTATATAATGGTGACAGCTGATAAGAGAAACTAGATCACTCATTCCTCCATCTCTTTCTAGTTCTTACAAGCATACACCAGTTTGCCTAATATTATATTTTAAATATAGCTTGATCTTGATTGGGACTCATCATATCCATGCTAATTGGGCTTGGAAATTTTCTCCTCTCCTTTGTGAAAAATAATTCTAGTTATTGTTTTTTTAATGCTATCACTAGACCAACGGAAACAAGTGTCCAAGGAAATGCATATTTGAATGCTATGCTAGAAAGAATAGAAGACATTAATTCTATCGCAAAACAAGAAAAGAAGGATCTACAGTAAATATGAGGCAGACCTGGAGTTGGGACTGGGGTTATTGTGCTGCATACTGCACAGCAGACGTTCGCAGACCCTCGAGGATATAGTAGGAGGTTTCTACATCCAGCGCACACAAGTTGACTCTGCATACCTGCAGCATTGAAAGTTCAATAATCCACAGATAATAAGATGCTGATAACCCAAAATTTAAACAATCATGTCGATGGTGGATTGAACCTGTAACTCTCGCGGGCCTCCAAGATCAGATTCACGAATTCAACATATGATTCAAGCAATATGTTTTCCAACTGATGCTACAGAAGATTGAGGCACATCGTGCATTTGGATAATGAATTTCCAATGTTTCTCACGATAAAGGGAAATAATTAAGATTACAACTAAAAAACCTGGCACATTCCCCTTAGACCTACCAAGAACAGAAAGCTGTTTGAGATGATTCTAGACCGGCCATGTCCATTAAATAAGACCATGACCAGGTTCGTCGCACTTGATCATTAAACAGTCTCCCCCATTTTACATGGTTCCTCGGAGAGTAATACGAAAAAAAAATCAGGAGGCAAAAAAGTGGAAAACAGAGACCCAGACCATCCCATAGACGTTGCAAAACCTGTCGAGAAATCGAATCCATAAGTGCCGCCTATTGGTCCATAAAAACAGAATCGTCTTAAATCCAAATACACGAATTCCCACCGCAAGAGACACAATCATCATATGAACCCCAGAGTTTCACGTACCCGGCAAGAAAAAAGTTTCCTCAATCCCTTTCGCGTCTGGCCAACAGGCTTCTGGAACAGAACAGGAGGGTTATCCAAGAATAGCGCCGCAGGAAACAGCCGGGTTCCCGGATTGCCGGTCAGCCCAAGATATCTGCGTGAGGATCCTTCCGCAGAGGATGGAAGAAGAGTGCAAGGAAGGAGAAGGGGCACAAGGACGAAGCGTATTCGTGATGAAGCCGATTTCAACTCCTAGAAAACGTCAATCTTTCCGCGTGAAACCGACACTGGGATCCGAATAAAACCCGGAAAAAATCGTTTTTGGGCCCCATATCGGGTCTCGCGAGGTCAAACCGATCCATCTAGAAGCTTTGAGACAGTTGAGACGAAAAATTCTGCCTTCCTCATTCATACGAATAGGTGTCACGAGGCGTACTGGGTCCCAACGACAGTCAGGAGCAGAGTTTTGAAGGCAAATACTCTCTCTCTCTCTCTCTCTCTCTCTCTCTCTCTCTCTCTCTATCTCAGGCTCATGCGGCATCACGGTCTCTTTTTGAGGCTTTTGTCTAAGTTTGGGCCAAGTTCAAGCCTTCTTCATAACATGTCCAATCCAAAGGGAACTGGGAAAGCTTGGGTGGTCAATCCTGCCCACCTTATGGCGTACTCATTCATGCCCATCAACGCTAGTCTCAACAACATCCATACGAAGTATTTACGCTGGATGCAAAATAAGACCTTACTTTTTGACCAGAAATATCCTACTTGACGTACATTATTACTCCTAATTGTAGCCAATCAAAGTTAGCAAACAATGTCTTTAGGAGGATTAAATGCAAAAAAATCAATAACTTGTAAGCTTCCAGAATGACATTAATACGCCCATAATGCAAAATGGAGATGTCAACGCTTGTGCTGCACAGTGAGATGAGACAAATGGGAGATCACCACTAGGTCAGCTCAGATAAATCTCCTTTCACATGTACTCTTTATATTTTTCTTGCAATTTTTGATGTAAAAAGTATTTAAAACTAACATTCAATGATTAATTTGATCAATTAAATACACACATAGTATTTCTCTTTAAAACATATACAATTAGATTTATCTTATATAACAATTATATCACACGTTTGTATAAACATCTATAAAATCCATGAATTAAAATTGAAATTTATTTGTGAAAAATTCCCTAAGCTAATGGGAGAGCACTTCCTTGAGAATTCATATGCTATTTCATAAAGTCTATGTTTGTTCTCAAGTATTTTATTTGTTTACCTTTTGTATTGTCTTATTTTGATGAAGCCTAGATCTAACAAATGCCGAAAGAGAGGCAAAGTAAACTCTAGACTCAAACCACATGAAAATTGGGCAGATCTTGCGCCCAATCCAGCTTGACATAAATGCATGTTGGTCCTAAGGTGGGCCAGATATAATATTAAGTGAGGGAAGATCACTAGTTCTCTAAAATATTCTTTTATTTTAAAGTGGTTTTAGCTTATAGTATCATACTAAGTGCGTTTACTCACATAGCTTGGGTTGACACACTTGATTGACATAAGGCAAGTTTGCTTGATTGGGTTGAGACACTAGGTTGATATACTAAGTAAAAAAGGGAGACGAAGACTTACGTTTACGATGGTTTGGCCTTCTCTACCCTATAGCTAGCTATCAAGGGATCCTGCCCTTACTTTCTCTCAAAAAAATACAACAGATATTGACAAGATGAAAAAAACTATATAGATTTAATAGTTCTATCTCCCCACACAAGACACAAAAGCATTATTTTTCCTTTCTACCCCTTGTTACCAGCACTTCCCAAAGTGCCTTCAAATAACGGTGTTAGTAACTAACTTAACCTTGAGGTTGAGAAGACAAACTTATTTGAGTTAGGGGGCAATTGACTGCATAAAAAAGTTTAGGAGATATTGCTTTTGCAATACAACTTGGATGGGAGATCCTGGATAAGCTTTTTATAGAGCCCAAAAACTAAATCTTCTTACATGTTGAGATACACCAGTCTTCTCAAATATCTTTCATTTTTATTCTGACTTTCTTCTACTATATAATACCTAAAAAATATAATATATAAAAAAGTGGACTACAATTAATGATTTAGATCTTTATCTTAGCATGTGTAAAAATGACATATTTATGAGCAATATTTTATTTTTTAATTTCTATGATTATTTTTCAGCACCGAAATCTATAAGCTCCTTATTTTTGATATTCACAAAATTTTTAGAATTTTTTTTCAATCATGAATATGAAAATTTGAAAAAAATAATAGTTCAATCATACTTGAGAAAAGAATTTGTTCATAAATTTCCTACTCATTAATAAGTCCTTTGATGACATATATACTCTGAAATATGTACTAATTTTTATGCAGTAGATTCTCCCTTTTTCTGTCAACATTAAAAATGGTACATGAAACAAAAATCGTGAGTTAGATGTAATAGGACTAAATTCAGCTTGTCTTCAATCATAACCACCTTTTCTTCAGTTGACTTCACTTGATCTCCAATTTGTTCATGGGATGTAAAATTTGTATCTAAAGAGATTTCAAAGAATTTGTGTGTGGGAGGTATGAATGATTGGGTGGTAGGGGGAAGTAATCAAATGAAATGCAGATGGTTAGGATGATGCCTCTAGGGAGGTTGGATTTGATATATTGACATCCAACAATCATCTTAGGGAACGTAATTCATCAAGATAAGAGTATGATGATCTATGAGATCATAAAGGTGGCTAGGAAGATATTATTCTCCATTGAGTTCTACTAGAAGGTTCAATAAGATGTAAGTTCTGATTAGGGTGACGAGTATAGAGGTTGGTGTTGACTTTGAGAGATTGTTAGTTATTTCTTCCAATTCTCTAAGATTTGATGACATCAAAATGAAAGAAATTGTTACTTTTAGGAGCCTTGAATATTTTGACAACTAATTATCTACTAAGTGTAAATCAGTATAGATAAAATCAAATAGTTGAACCAAGAAAAACTATTAGAAGGAAAAAATATATATATTTATAATTTAGATGATTAATGTTTTTTGGATGTAACCTTGTGTCATAGGAATAAACATGTTATGGTTTTTGGAAAGATAATCTGAAAAGGAACACAATATAATAAACAATGTCAAAATATATTTCTATTTATTTATGATTCTGAAAATATTAATGAATGTTCATAGAGTTTGAATTGATGGGTGATAACTCTCATTAATTACATGATAAAATACTTAATATTTTATATTTTTTTAATGTTAGATAAATATTTGAAAATTAATTTAATCTAGAAAAAATGATATTAAGCTTATTTATATGATTATACTATTCATTTCTAGAAATTACATGATGAAATTGACTATGAAATATTTTGATAGGTTTTATCAATGATTAATATTATTATCAAAATGTTTCTATGTTAATTACATTTATTTTTCCTAAATTTTCCTAAATTTAGACAAACTTTTTCCTATATTTGAAAATGTTTCTATGTTTCAATGATTAATATGTGAATTTTTCCTAAATTTTCCTGAGCTTATTATGATAAATAATAATATAATAATAAAATTAAAATATGAGACAAACTTTTTTTTAGGTTTTCCACATCAATGACAAACGTAACAAATACAACAAGAAGTAGAATGGATAAATTGATAGGATTAACATATATAAAGATATAAAAATGATGGGAGAGGAAGAATGGGACATCTTTGATCAATCATTCACCACAACTATTTTCTCTCTCCTCCGGCAGTGACAAATGTTGGATCCACCCAAATTATCCATTCGATACAAATGATGGATTTGACATAGCAAGAAAATAGTCAATGAACACAGTTGTAATGAATAATTTTCTTTCTGAAGTTTTTTTCATGTATTACATACAAGAGAATTTGACATGGCAAAAAATCCTTGGGAATGATGATCTATCATAAGATGTCAAAACATCAAATATATGCCAAAAACTCTTTGAATGACACATTTTTAGACTAGCCTAGTCAAAAGCTGGTCATACTAACAACCTAACAATAATTTAGCCATTCAATCAAGTGATGGGTTAACCCACATGTCAACTTTTACAATTTTTGACTAATCATGCCTTAGAGGTTTGATCTTCAATAGTTGATGTTTTGAGCTTTATAAATAAACTTTTGAATGAGCTTTCAAATATTATCTCAATGATTAATTCTCTTTCTATGTATTTTGAAAACTACTTGAGGTAACCTAGTACACCCAAGCTTACTCTAATGCTCAACTTTGCTGCAACAATAAGGAAGCTACCACTTCATCATGAAAACATTAGTATAACTCTATTGAACATTGATAGATCTATGGCTAGCTCTTCAAAAAGTCTATTGGCGGAAGGTCACTCTTATTATGACCTTTGTTATTCAATCGATCAAACTATG